CCTCCTGTTAAAAGCAGAGTGGACCCACAGTCCCTCCCAAAGTGAAAGGCACAATCATGTGTCAAGAGCACTGGCCTTATTGCTTCTTGGACGTTGGCTAAGATCAAGCGAAGACCACTGGTTTTGGGGTCTGATACCCCAGGAGAGTCCCAGTTTCATGCTCACGTGTTGTGTGACCCTTGACCCCTCATTCAATTCTTACATGCTTCAGTCTCCTAAGCCATGCAAAAGGGACATAAGGATATCTCCTGAAAGCAGAGTCGGCTGGAAGGCTGGAAGGTTTATGTGAAGCAGTTGCACATTACTTGGCACTTAGAATGGGCAAATAAAAAATGGTTTAGCTTCTCCTTTGTGGGAATAGAGACTGGAATGGTTTGTATCCTGGCTCTCCTGAAACTGGGCTGCCAAGCTGGGCCCAATCTCTAGTTCAGCTCCCTTCAGAAAGCTGAAGGCAGAAGCCTACAGGACCAGAGATGGAGCCTGGCCACACAGCCCCTTCTTCCTGATGTCACATGCCTGGTGATCCTGGTCACAGACTGCCTGAGATGGCGAAACAGAGCTTTGTCGGACTTTTGAAGATAACCCTACAGAAAAATCACCTGGAGAAGGGCAGATGCGCATGTTTTGTAATAAGACCAGTTGGGGTTCCTAAATCAGCCAAGCCATTTATCCTGTGGCCTTGACGACAGGCTGACCTTCCTTTTGCAGAGGAGATGGTGACGCCTGGTCCCAGAGGAGCGCTGTGAGCACCCAGGCATGGATTACGGTGCTTAGCACAAAGTAACATTAAATGTGAATCTCTCTTCTAAAACTATGTTACCAAAAGCAGTAATTCATTCCAAACAAGTCTGTCTAAAAGTCTTTTTCTACTGTAAAAGCTTTAATTTTTGTCTTTATTTTCATTGATACAATTAGATGTGCATATTTTAGGAGTAGATATGATAATCCAACACATTCACATAATCAAATCAGGATAATTGGGATATTTGTCACCTTAAATATTGATCTTTTCTTGATGCTATGAGCATTAGGTTAATGGGTACAAATGTATGGTTAGATAAAAAGAATAAGACCTGCCTGGTCTTCAATACATCATGGTGGCTATAGTTAACATTAACCAATTGTACATTTCAAAATGCTAGAAGAGAATAATTCCAACACCTTTTTAGTTTGCTTACTATTTTCTGAATTCTAATAGACTGATACATCAGTCCCTGCTGTAGCCAAAATAATGACTTCCCCAAAATGCACTTCAAGAATGTGACCTCAATGGTTGTGACATACAGAGCCTGCTCCTGGTGTTTGGGAAAGAAGAGGTGTTAGGCCTGCCACAATTCCTTCTCCTCCCAGGTGATTCAGAGTCCTGGAGGACAGAATACCTTGGGAACTTGAGTGAACTCCTTCCACCAGCCCAGCCTTCACTCAGATTCCAGCTCATAGCTCACAAGCTCCACCACCCAGGCCAAACTCCTCACACGCTTAGTTTTCTGTTGGTTTGTTTGCTTGTTTGTTTGAAAGAGCTTTGCTCTTGTTGCCCAGGCTGGAGTGCAATGGCACGATCTTGGCTCACTGCAACCTCTGCCTCCGGGGTTCAAGCAATTTTCCTGCATCAGCCTCTCGGGTAGCTGAGATTACAGGTGTTCACCACCGTGCCCGACTAATTTTTTTGTTTTTAGTAGAGACAGGATCTCACCATGGTGGCCAGGCTGGTCTCAAACTCCTGACCTCAGGTGATCCGCCCGCCTCAGCCTCCTAAAGTGTTGGGATTACAGGCATGATCCACCATGCTCGGTCTAATGGTCAGGTTTTTATTTCCTCTATATGTCAAGTGAGGACAATAAGAATCACTTCAAAGTGTTGTTAGGAGCTAATGCATGTTGAGTATTTATAAGAATTTTTGGCACCCAGCAGACGCTCAGAAACTTTTAGCTCATAATATTAGCATTGCTATAAAAGTAACATTAATAAAAACCAATAACATTAATACTGTGAGAAAGTCAAAAGAATATACATGAAAGGACGTTAATAATACACAATGACTTTTCCACATGCCATTTGTATGGCCAGAAAGCCAGACACAACTCCTGGCTTCCTCCTGCGATTCAGACATTGCTTAGATGCAAACTTAACTCACGGAACCACTTAATAGGTTCGTCACTCTAAGCAAAGACTAGCGTTCAAGAAATGTTCTCAGGTGTTTTAAAACACAGTTCAGAATACTGGTTATGGGTTTTTCAAATGTTTGCAATACAAGGCCTGCCTCTGTGCTAAGCTCCTAGAGAGAATTTTTATGATGGATGCAGTTTTTTCTATTAGCAATGGAACATACACATTTGAAACCCAACTGGCAGCTTCTATTATTATAGGCTAAATCTCGTAAACAAAACTTAAATGTAAAGAAGTGTTTGTACCACCGCATGTTCTCACTCATGGGCGGGAACTGAACAATGAGATCACTTGGACTCGGGAAGGGGAACATCACACACCGGGGCCTATCATGGGGAGGGGGGAGGGGGGAGGGATTGCATTGGGAGTTATACCTGATGTAAATGACGAGTTGATGGGTGCAGCACACCAACATGGCACAATTATACATATGTAGCAAACCTGCACGTTGTGCACATGTACCCTACAACTTAAAGTTTAATAATAATAAATAAATTTAAAAAAAAAAAAGAAGTGTTTGTACTAGCTGCAAACGGGATACTGGTTTGATGCCACAGGGTAAGTTGTTAGCAGGTGACATTAGAGTATGGATTAGTTAGGGTAACATTGTGAACCGAGAGACAGGACAGATCTTGGCACTCACTGAAGGCGAGACTCCTCTGGAGAGTTGCTTCCTCCCCAAGATCTGCATCTTTCCCTGGACTGAGTCAGGATCTCCAAGGTTAGGACCTAGCTATGTATATTTTGCACCAAGAATTCTGATTTGGACTCCAGGACTGAGAACCACAAAGGTGCATAGAGACCCAATTTTGTACATGGAAGGTGGGGACAGATAGATAAAGTAACTTGTCAGCAGTCATTCGTCTCACTAGTGTCACTGCTAGAAGTAGAACCTGTGGACTTTTGGTCCCTGGTCTGCAGCAGTTTCTGTAACACGAGTGGGTATGAAACAACATAAAACACAAAGAACTGAGTTCTCGGAGGTGTGCAGCCCAGCAAAACTGAGCCTTTGGGTGGGAGTGGAGAGCAGCCAGCAGGAGAGGCCTGCGGTGGGGCTCGGCATCTCAGTTTTAGGAGACAACCCCCACTGTCAGATGGTTCAGGTGATGGTGGCCGTGTGGGAGTGTGGTGGTGGCTGGAGAAGATGACAAAGGCAATTCACTTATGATAGCTGCTAAGGAGAGCAGTTGACACAACCCTGCTGCCATTTTTGACTCTTTCTTGATGAATTGAGGATATGGGGATCTAACTGCAGCCACCAGCATGGAGATTTCCTAGATGCTTAAACTTACAGGTTATTAAGGACATAAAGGGATCTTCATGTATTCTAATGCCCTAATTTCACAGGAGAAGAGACAGTCTCAGGGAAGGCAGGTGGCTTGTTCAGTTTCAATCAGCCAGCAACTGGCAGAGCTGAAATTAGAACTCAAGTCTTAGGGCTCCAGTTCTGTAACTCATCCATCCCACGAAACAATTCTAAAGGCATGTGTCTATGTGGCCTGGGCATGGCTTGTAGTCACTGCCATAGATAGAGATGGATGAGACCCACTGCCCCTAAGGCATGCAGTCCTATTGGTTCCTTCCTGCAGCAGTCCCTGGACCACCAGGTTCAGAAACACCTGGGTCTGTGCTCACATGCAAAGTACTGGACCTGCCCCAGATTTACCGATGCAGATCCCCAGCAGGTGAGGCCAGGGAAACTGGCTCAGCAGGTGATACCTGGGTACTCCAACATCTGGGAAAACCCCAGATAAGACCTCAAAGTTCTGGGATATTGTGGGGGCTCTGTTGAAGAACAGAAGGTGTAACATATAAGAAAGACAGACCTAAATGTGACATCAATTATTTCATTGACGAATCATCAGTTGAGTGCCCACTGGCTTATAGTGCCCACTGTTCACTATGCTGGGAACACAAGTCAACAAGCCAACCCCATTCCAGCTGTGAAGAAGCGCATCTGGAAAGTCATAGAAGACCCTGGATGCCTGGTGCCTGGGCTGGGGTGTGTGCCAGGGGAAGAAGGGAGTGGATGTCAGAGAGGAACAACTCTTGACAGTGCCCAGGAAGGGCAGCTGCTCCACGGAAGCAGTGCTCGTGGAGCCATGTTGCCATGGATACAGTGTCTGGTTACTTATGGGAACACTATTGTTAGGATGGTTCTGAAATGCCTTCGTCCTGATGGTGGAGACCTCCCCAGACCAAATTACTCTTGGCTGAGGTGGTTAACCCTCTACTCATATGATGTCTTGGGGCAACAGTGCAACTTCAAAACACATTAAATAATACCACACTATGGAGACAATAAAAAGATCGGTGGTTGTCAGGGGCTGAGGGAGCAGAGGGATGAAGGAATAAGCATCAGTGGAGCAGAGAGGATTTTAGGGCAGTGAAACTCATCTGTATAATACTCAAATGGTGGACTCATGTCATTACACATTTGTCCGAACGCCTGGAATGCACAACACCCAGAGCGAACCCTCGTGTCAACTATGAACTCATCGTGATGATGACGTGTCAGTGTAGGATCATCAATTATACAATGTGTACCACTCTGGGAAGATATGTTGATAATGAGGGAGACAGGGCATATTTGTTGGAGGGGCAGGAAGAATATGGAAAATCCCTGTACCTTCCACTCAGTTTTGCTCTGAACCTAAAACTGCACTATAAAACTAATTTTTTTTTGACAGCTCTGTCATTCAGGCTGGAGTGCAGTGGTGCAATCATGGCTTACTTAAACTCCACCTCCTAGGCTCAATAGATCCTCCCACTTCAGCCTCCCAAGTAGCTGGGACTACAGGCATGTGCCACCACACCTGGCTATTTTTTTTAAGTTTTTAGAGATGGAGTCTCGCTATGTTGCCCAATCTGATCTTGAAATCTTGGCCTCAAATGATCCTACCACTTTGGTCCTCAAAGTGTTGAGATTATAGGCATGACCCATGGTGCCTGACCTTAAAAAGTCTTTCAAAGAAAGATTAAACATTTCTAAACTGTTTTTTAAAATACATCGTGTCACAGTGTATAAAAGTTATACTATCAAAAGTGAACTTTGGGTAAATGAAGGCTGCCGGATTGACTAGAAATCAGAAGGGGTTTGGGCTTTAAGTTTGTCACTGAATCTGGTAAACTCAGAGAAATCACTGCCTCTCTCTAAGCCTCTAGTCATCAGGATTAGGAAGGAGAGAGGTGGGCTGCTAGAATTCCTTCTTCAAGCTCTGATGTTTCAGGACAAAGATAATTGCTGATGAGAAAAAAAAAAATCAGAATCTCACAGTCTGCAAAAGCAGAACAGCACAGTTTCCACAAAACCATAAAAATGTACTTTTTGGAACATAACAGTCAAGCACATGCAACAGCTTAGGGTCCGTAACTCAGCATATGTAAAGTTCATAAATTAATGTAATAGGAGGCAGGGTAACATCTGTTCTGTAGTACCCAACAGAGGGGATTTGGATATTTGAGAAGAGGCTCTGCACATAGTAAAGTCAGCCTAGGAACATGTGAGCAGTATTTACAGTGAAAAGGTCCCCATCTCTAAGTATACACATCTGCTCCAAGACAGCTGAGGCTGGGGGCACAGACTCCACTGAAGGGAAAGCCCCTCCCAGGGAAGCGGCCTGCTAAGAAATCAGAATGGAGCCATCTGCCCTTCCCACTGCGTGAGCTCCACCAGCCACCTATTCGTACTCACCAGCCGGCAGCCTACCCTGGCCCTGGCACATGCCTGCCCCCAGTGGGCAGGGCCATGACAAAGCCACTGCTGGTTACCATTAGGGGTCAAGTCCCACAGTGGGTTTATTGAAAAACGTTTGCTTAATTTTAGATCAAAGCAGTACTTTCTTCTCCCTTTGGAATAAACAAACAAACAAATAGTATCTTGGAGCAATGAAGAACATAATCAAGTTTATGTATGGGCCACTAAGAAACTGAATAGTTACCTCCTACTTAAAAGGGTATCCTGGGCCACTGTGAAGTGGTCCTTTTTATCCTGTGGTCTGCAGTGGAAATGGAGAAGAGCTGTAAAAACATGCACAGTGAGTTGCTGCTGCATCCTGATTGCCCAAGAGAGGGAAGGAGGAGGAGATGAGAAGGGTTGAATCGGTTCTCTGACATGCCAGAGAGATAAACGGGTGCCTCCCAAAGTTCTGAGGGCTTTTAAAAACTGGATGTCCACTGATATTTCAAAACAGTGCTGGGTGTCCATAATTCCAAAGACAGTTCACAGGGGTCCAGAGTTGAAATCTGTGCTCTCGGATACCACAGATGAGCCTTCTCAGCAGGCTTGGCAAACATCTTCACAGCCACCATGACACGTGGTAGGATTCAGGGACCCCAAAAGGAAAGAGCTAAGTTTTGAGGCTGAAGACCAAATTGGTTAAAAATATGGTCACTCTCAGGGTCAGTAAGAGAGAATTAAGTAAAAAAAAAATAATTGAATACAGGGAGCAAATAAGTAGACATAACACGGAATGGCGCAGGCCGCCAGGCAATCCTAAGGCAGACATACACTCATCTTCAAGTGGCTTCCTCCAGCCTGACACCTGAAAAAGTGCTACTTCTTCTAATTTACTCTTTCTCCTGTTTATCAAAAGAGAAGAAAAGAAGAAAAAGAAAATGTTAGTAGTTGACTATGTGTCAACACTATTCTGGGCATTTCCCTAAGTTATGTAACTGAATATTCACAACTCCCTCTGATGTGTAGATATTAATATAATTATTTTCATTTTACCAATAAATTCTGGTAAAATATAAGCTATGAAAGACATCCAGAGATACTATGTGATGTGCTCAAAGACAAACAGCTAATAGGCAGCAAGCCCAGGCTTTAAGCAAGTTCTATCTGAAAACCTTTTCTCTCTTCCCTAAGGCATGCTAAATTGATGTTTGAGCTTCCCATTTATCTTGTTTCATGAAAGAATGGTCTAAGCCCATGGCATCTTCCCTATCCAAAAGAAAGTAAACAGTCATGAGACCAAGATCCCCTGGGATCTCCCAGAAGGTAAGTCACAGCTCTGTATATTCCAAGCTCCAATGCTGCCAGTCCCAGAGATTGTGGGGTGGAGATTCTGTCTCTGAGCTCCACCTATTTAAGTCTTACCAGATTAAAGACCTGACTCTGATAAACTTGTGTCCATGACCTTTCTTTTTTTTAAAAAAAGGATTTTACTTTTTAGAACAGTTTTATATTTCAAAAATATAGAGAAGGAGCCCCCATTGCGGAAAAGTGGTAAGCGAGAGATCCCTACTGGTTCACGTTCCCACTAAGGACTCTTGCAACCCTAGCCATAGGTGAGCCCCTTGGCCCTCGTGGGCCCTTAGACTAGTATAGAAAGCTGCTTGCAGTCTATATGATGGCATTGTCTCAGGGAGAGAGTTTGCATTGGGTGCCAAACTCCCCCAAGACCCAAGTAACTGCAACATGATGCCATTCTGAGAGCCCAGTCAACACCAGACTACATCCCACCCTGAGGACAAACAGGACCTGCCTCTCCACATACCTTAAGCCCCACTGACATTCCCCTACATCCACCCAGAGGGCTGCAGCATTGCAATGCTGGCTGGACACAATGGTGCAGCTGGAGCAACAGCACAGTGTCCTACTCTCTGGAAAATGGGTGGTGCAACACTGCAGGAGGCTGCCTTGGGGACAAAGGAAGTGTGTACTCCCCAGAGTTTGAGAGTTGACTGCCAGGGACCACTGCCACTGAAACGCAGTATCCTCCAGTGGCAGGGTGGTCACATACCTGAATGTACCTTTAGCTGACTTGGATACCAGCCCAGTCACAAACCATCCACCACAGGCATCTGTGCAAGCCACATAGGAGCCATGGGTTGGCTCACCACCACCACTGCCACTACCAATGCCATGCACACCACCCAGGGATCCAAGGTCTGGCACCCCCAACCCACCAATGACATCACTGGTGCCCAAGGACCAGCCCTCCTGGAGCCCTTGTCCCCAGGAAAGTCTTGCCACAGCCCCCAATGACAACTGCCACCTAAGCCACTGAGGAATTCACAGACACCACTGATGTTGATTACAGTTAAAGAAATCATGCAGAGACCACACTTCTACACCCACCCAGAGTACAACTGAAAGGACCCTGCCCAATGCACACTGTAGATATATCTTTGTAAAAAAAAAAATGTCCTTATGAAAGATTTTCATCCAATCCGTAACATTGGACAAAATGACTGGTACACCAGATGTGCAGATATCAACACAAAGACACAAAAAATAAAAAGCAAGAAAACAGGACACCTCCAAAGAAACACAGTAATTCTCCAGTAACAGATCTCAAAGAAAAGGAAATCTATGAAATGCCTAAAAATATCAAAATAATGATATCAAAAATTGGTACAATAAAGAGAACATGTGTAAACACTACAAATAAATTGGAAAGAAAATTATAACTTGGATGAAAAGTTCAGCAGAGATAGAAATCATTTAAAAACACACACAAAAAAATCCTGGAACTGAAGAATACAATAAATGAAAATTTTAAAAATACAGTCAAGAGCATCAAGCACAATACACTGCATCAGGCAGAAGAAATTTTTGAACTTGAAGACAGGTCTCTTGAAATAACTCAGTCAGACAAAAAATAAAAATAAAAAAGAATAAAAAGAGCATGCAAGGCGTATGGGATACCACAAAGTGGCCAAATAGTTAAATTTTGGGTGTTCCAGAATAAGAAATGGGTAAAGGCATAGAGAACTTAAGAAAAAAAAAAAAAAAAAAAAAGCAAAGTTACACTTTAAAAGTGAAAGGGAAATAAAGTTGTTCCTAAACAAGCAAAAAAAAAGATAACTCATTCCCACTAGACCAACCCTGCAAGAAATGCTTAGGGGAGTCCTACATCTGGAAGCAAAACCACAAAATCTGCTGATATGGTTTGGCTGTACCTCCTCCCAACGCCCCCATCTCATCTTGAATTATAGCTCCCATAATTCCCACATGTTGTGGGAGGGACCCGGTGGGAGATTAACTGAATCATGGGGGCGGTTTCTCCCATACTGCTCTTGTGGTAGTCTCACCAGATCTGATGATTTTATAAGGGATTTCCCCTTTCACTTGGCTCTCATTCTCTCTTGCCTGCTGCCATGTAATACATACATTTTGCCTTCTGCCAGGATTGTGAGGACTCCCCAGCCATGTAGAACTGTGAGCCCACTAAACTTCTTTTTCTTTATTAATTACCCAGTTTTGGGTACATCTTTATCAACAGTGTGAGAACAGACTAATACAGTAAATTGGTACTGGGAGTGGGGCACTGCTGTAAAGATACTCAAAAATGTGGAAGAGACTTTGGAACTGTGTAATAGTCAGAGGTTGGTACAATTAGGAGGGTTCAGAAGAAGACAGGGATATGTGGGAAAGTTTGGAACTTCCTAGAGACTTGTTAAATGGCTTTGACCAAAATGCTGATAGTGATATGGGACAATGAAATCCAGGCGGAGGTGGTCTCACATGGAGATGAGGAACTTGTTGGGAACTGGAGTAAAGGTGACCCTTGTTATGTTTTAGCAAAGAAACTGGTTGCATTTTGCCTCTGCCCTAGAGACCTTTGGAACTTTGAACTTGAGGGAGATGATTTAGGGTATCTGACAGAAGAAATTTCTAAGCAGCAAAGCATTCAAGAGGTGACTTGGGTGCTGTGAAAAGGACTCAGTTTTAAAAACAGCAGAGCATAGTTTGGAAACTTACAGCCTGATGATGCAAGGGAAAAGAAAAACCCATTTTCTAGGGAGAAATTCCAGCCTGCTACAGAAATTTGCATAGTAACAAGGAGCCACATGTTAGTCACCAATACAATGGGGAAAATGTCTCCAGGGTATGTCAGAGACATCTGTGGCAGTCCCTCCCATCCAGGCCAAGGGGCCCCGTGCTCTGTGCAGTCTAGGGGCTTGATGCTCTGTGTCCCAGCTGCTCCAGCCATAGCTAAAAGGGACCGAGATATAGCTCAGGCTGTGGCTTCAGAGGGTTCAAGCCCCAAGCCCTGGCAGATTCCACATGGTGTTGAGCCTGTGAGTGCACAGAAGTCAAGAGCTGAGGTTTGAGAACCTCCACCAAGATTTCAGGAAACACCTGAATGCCCAGGAAGGACTTTGCTGCAGCGGTGGGGCCCTCATGGAGAACCTCTGCCAGGGCAGTGCAGAAGAGAAACGTGGGGTTGGAGCTCTCAGAGAGAGTCCTTACTGGAACACCACCTAGTGGAGCTGTGAGAAGACAGCCATTGTCTCCCAGACCCCAGAATGGTAAATCCACTGACAGCTTGCACCATGCACCTGGAAAAGTCACAGACACTCAATACCAGCCTGTGAAAACCACCAGGTGGGAGGCTATACCCTGCAAAGCCACAGGGGCAGAGCTGCCCAAGACCATTGAAACCCACCTCTTACATCAGCGTGACCTGGATGTGAGATATGGAGTCAAAGGAGATCATTTTGGAGCTTTTAGATTTAACTTTCCTGCTGGATTTTGGACTTGGGTGGGGCCTTAAGCTCCTTCGTTTTGGCCAGTTTCTCCCAATTAGAATGGGAGTATTTATCCAATTCATGTACTTCCATTGTATCTAGGAAGTAACTAACTTACTTTTGATTTTACAAGCTCATAGGCAGAAGGGACTTGCTTTCTCTCAGATGAGACTTTGGACTGTGGACTTTTGAGTTAATGCTGAAATGAGTTAAGATTCTAGAAGAATTTTGGAAAGGCATGATTGGTTTTGAAACGTAAGGACAAGAGATTTGGGTGGGGCCAAGAGAGGAATGATATGGTGGTTTGGCTGTGTCCACACCCATGTCTCATATAGAATTGCAGCTCCCATAATTCCCACATGTTGTGGGAGGAAGCTGGTGGGAGATAATTGAATCGTGGGTGTCGTTCCCCCATACTGTTCTCATGGTAGTGAATACGTCTCACAAGATCTGATAATTTTATTATGGGTTTCCCCTTTCACTTGACTCATTTTTTCTTGCCTGCTGCCATGTAAGATGTGCCTTTCACCTTCCACCACGATTGTGAGGCCTCCCCAGTCATGTGGAACTGTGAGTCCACTAAACCTCTTTTTCTTTATTATCTTTATAATTTACCCAGTTTCAGCTATTTCTTTATCAGCAGAGTCATAACAGACTAATACATCTGTCATCATGAAAACACACAAAAATATGAATTCACTGGTAGAGCAGACACACAAATAAGACAGAAATAAAAAGACAATCATTGTCACTACAAAAGAATACTAAATTATAAAGGTAAACAATAAAAATGGAGGAAAGAAGAAAGGGAATGGAAAACAATTGGAAAAACTTAACAAAATAACAGAAACAAGACATTACCAACCAATAACAATATTGAATGCAAGCAATTTAAATTCCGAAGTTAAAAAAATACAGAGTTTCTGGATGGCATGATATAAAAAAAGACCATGTTATATGCTGCCTACAATAAACCCAACTTCATCTGTAGAGATGTACATAGACTGAAGATGAGGGGATGGAAAAAAAATATTCTACACAAACACAAACCAAAAGTGTACAGAAGAAACAATAGTTATTTCAGACAGAATAGTCTTTAA